ATTAGGAGTATCAACTTTTTGAAACCCCCAGAAAATCAGTGAATCCAGGCATCAAGCATCATCAGCTGCTAACATCGCACCACGTGAGACACAGGTGTTACGCGCCACCTGATGAGGGAACACGGCCCCTGCTAGAGTCATGCCGAAGGGATCAACCCTGAGTCACATCAGGCCTCTGTATCTACTTGCCAGTTGGCAGAAATACAGAAGACCCTGTCGGACTGCAGCACGACTATGCAGTCAGCAAGATCCAGATTTGGGGAAACTCAACAGGTCAAATGCTCCAGTTTTCTTCGATAGATAACTTGTAAGGAAAGAAAGGGATGGGATTGGAGCCTGTAGATTAAGAAGATATCAAAATGGGATGCCTGGGTGGCTCAGTGGGTTAAGCGTCTGCCTTCGGCTCAGGCCATGATCCCGGGGTCCTGGGCTGGAGTCCTGTATCGGGCTCCCTGCTCAGCGGGGAATCTGCTTCTCCCTCTCCCGCTCCCCCTGCTTGTGTGCTCGCTCTCTCTGACAAATAAATAAATAAGATCTTTAAAGAAAAGATATCAAAATATTTGTAAATGAGCAAGACTAACCTTAAAAACGTTATGCTAAGTGAAAAAAGTCAGAGCCAAAGACCATATATTGTTTGATCCCATTAATAGGAAATTTCCAGAATAGGCACATCTGTAAGAGACAGAAGGTAGCTTGCTGGCAGCCAGGGGCTAGGGAGAGGGAAGAAATGGGAATCAACAGTACGTGGGCACAAGGGAGCTTTTGGGGGTAATGGAAATTGTTTTTCATTGGTGATGGTTTCACAACTCTGTAATAAAAAATCATTGAGTAAAAGTACAAACGGACATCTCTGGCGTCTAGGGATGCACTCTTGGGTCATAAAGCTATAATAAACTTCAGGAAGTTACTACTATAAAAGTTGGTGTAGTGGTTACGTTTTGGGAGGAGAAGGGGAGCAGTTCTCATTTGGAAGATGCTCCTGGAGAAGCCTTTGGGATAGGTACAGAAGCTCTATTTCTTGGCCCAGATGGAGACTACAAATGTCTAGCTTCCTTATAAAAACTTAAAAATTATACATATATATTTGTGTGTGTGTGTGTGGTTTCCAGTATCTTTTGTTTTACAATAAAAATTATTAAAAAAAAAAAACACAAAGCTTGTAAGCTGTTGGAAGAGATCAGATCCCCATTTGTTTCATTTTTTTATCATAGTAATAAGTCTCTTTCTCATGGGCAAACTCAGGGTAGCCAGGAAATGCTCCTTTACGTCACAAAAGGAAAACAAAATTAATGCAAAAGAGGGAGGTGACAAATGGTTGAATTTCTTTTGGGTGTACACCGCATAACAAGCACCATTTGGACTTCAGACCTGTTCCAAACAAGTGTCAAATAGCACAGATTCTCTTTTCTAGTAGGTTCAACTGCCCGGTGACTTACAATTTCTCTCTCTCTCTCTCTCTCTCACACACACGCGCACGCACAGAAATGTATAGCTGTAATAAAGGAGCTGGATGGAGGGGGAAAGTCAGCTGCAGTCCCTCCTTCCTGACATACCACAAATCATTAAACCATAAATATTTTTTGAGTCTTTTTGGCTTGCTGGGGTTCTGTTGGGCAGTTGGTGTTTTTGTTGTGTGTGGATGGCGGGGGCGGGGTGGGGGGGAAGGGGCGGTGTTTGGCCTTTTTAGCAAGACATCTTTCCCAAAATGGAATTCATTCTGCGAATTCAGCTTGTTTGTTTTTGCTTTCTTGTGAAGATCACTCGGAGCATCATCGTTCCTTAACTATTATTTAACAGGTCCTGTATTAAGTAACAGCAGTATTCTCGGCAACTCTGCTGGCTCCGGGGCAGGCAGCTAGCTGCCTTGCTTGTTCTCATTGTATGCGGTTGTGTTCAGAGTGGAGCCGAGGCCCCTGACATTCCCTCAGTTTCTCACCCCTGCTTTCTCATCTTTCCACTGTAGCAGAGCTCAAAAGAAGTACTCAGCAACAGGAAGATCAGGAACAAAAGGAGGAGGATGAGGATGATGAACAAACACTGCGCAGAGCTCGGGAGTGGGATGACTGGAAGGACACCCATCCTAGGGGCTATGGCAACCGACAGAACATGGGTTAGTCTTCCCACAACAAGACGGGACTACAGGGGTCACATCTTCCCTGCTGAGGAAAGCGGTGCCGTCTTCCCCTCCCTGAGCTGCTTCAGCTGTGTGCAACGAAGGCAAAGATGCTCAGTCTCGCTTTGCATTCAATAAAGTGTCAAACAGTTCAGCGTGTATTTGTACCCCAGGTAATCTTGTTTTGGCATTCTCCTCCTCCTCGTGGTGTCTTCCACTTTCTTAAGTGGAAAGAAAAAAGTCCTGGGAAGTGGCTCTGTATAATCAGTGGCTGTATGAATGCTCTTAAAAAAAAAATAATAATAATAAAAGTCCGTTCTGTTACATGAGCCTGTGCAAGAATTTGGATATCAGCTGCTTTTTTTTGAGGGGGAGGGGGTCAGCTCTGGGCACCCGAGCTTATGGGCAGACCCTTTGGTGTGGGCAGTGAATTTTCTACCATCAGAGCTGCCCAGAGGAGCTGGAGCTTTGCTTTCTCTTTCCTGCCCTCGGAACGAGCAGCTGGGCGATGGCCCAACACTCTGCCTTACAGGGGCGAGTGCGAAGGCCAGGACTTCTCCCTGCCGCACAGCACTGTTCTCAGCAACTGGAGCTGTAAACAGATGAACCAAAGCACTCCTCTCCCTAGTCTGCCTCGGCCAGGAGAAAAAGGAGAGAAACAGATAAGGTGCCGTGAGAGTCGCCCTTGTGTGTGCCGCTGGGGCTGGGACCTTGGCTCTCACAGAACTATTTGCCATAACCCTTAGGGTGAAGAGCAGCTCAGGCTGTAGCCCAGCTCCCACGTGGGCTATCGGAAGACCATCCTGGCCCGGCACGGTCTGCAGTGGGAGCTGGGCCACGGCAGTCATTTTGCTGCTTAGGAAGGTGCTCGCAGCCATGCCGATAGCTGGGTGTGGAGGGAGGAGGACGGCTCGGATGACGTGGAGGGCTACCTACTTTCTGCTGTAGAAGTCCTCAGCTCTTGGGTTGATACCCTAAAAAAGCAGCCATGTGTTGAAACGTGATCTGTGTAGAAAACGTGCTTTTGTTCTATGTGGCTTAGGCATGCTTAGGTTTTTGGTTTTGTTGTAAGATTTTATTTGAGAGAGAGAGAGAGAGAGAGAACAAGCAGGGGGGAGGGGCAGCGGGAGAGGGACAAGCAGACTCCCCGTTGCGGGGCTCGATCCCAGGACCGCGAGATCATGACCTGAGCCGAAGGCAGACGCGCAGCCGGCTGAGCCACCCAGGCGTCCCTTAGGTTTTCTTTTTTTTTTTTTTAAAGATTTTTTTTATTTATTTATTTGAGAGAGAATGAGAGAGAGAAAGCACATGAGAGGGGGGAGGGTCAGAGGGAGAAGCAGACTCCCTGCCGAGCAGGGAGCCCAACGCGGGACTCGATCCAGGGACTCCAGGATCATGACCTGAGCCGAAGGCAGTCGCCCAACCGACTGAGCCACCCAGGCGCCCCCTTAGGTTTTCTTTTAAGAGGAAGATGACTCAGCCTTCCCATTCTAGCCTCTGCAGTCTGGCTTAGGTTTGAACAGGAGACTCAAGTCCCCGTTGTTTACGGGGTGGTGAGTGGAGGGCTGTCAGGCGATGAGTAAGAGGTCGTGTTCAGTGAGAGAGGACAGAAGACCACCAGTACTCTGTATACCGTTTCATGAAAGACTCCCCTCACCCTCACAACATAAGCTCCTGAAACTGCTAGAGCACAGATTAAGTTTCCCCAAGGATTTGGGAAGCAAACATTCATTTTTAGCTCTCTTCCAATTACTGCCAGGTTTCCTGTAGTGATGACCTATTTCCTGCCCTCGAAACTCCACCCTGAGTTCCTTCTCAAAATGGGCCAGGTTGGGGTTACCCCCTTGGCCTGAGTCTATTTAAAGATGGGCCTTCCAGAAGACCCAGCTCCATGAAGCCTCCTCACACATTCTGATACCTAAGAGGTAACCTAGAGGAGGTGGGTTTCGATCCCGGCTTTTACAAATTGCAAGCGGTGTGATCTTGGGCGATACAATTTCTCGGGACTGCTCCTGTTGCCTCCCTGTCTAGGGATGGGCTGTAGCAGGGGGTTGTTCAATAGTAGCAGCCATTAGAAGAGCCTGGAGCAGCTGAAGGGCAAGTGCTTTCGCTCTAGGCTCAGTGATTACAGTCAGTCCTCGAGGAAGGGAACGGAAACGGACAGGGACAGGGCGCTGAACCCAGCACTTCCACACACCGTGAATGCAATGACCCTGCGAGGGAGGTAGCATCGTTCCCACCTTACAGAAGAGAAAACAGGCCCCGGGAAGCTGATTGCCTCAAGTTCATACTAGTCAGCTGGCCTTCTGTCATTTCCCCCATTTGCTTCCCAGTTGCGTGTGCTTGTGTGTGTCTTAAAGCTGCTTAAAAGGGAGGGAGCCGCTTTAAAAAACTCCAACCCAAACCACCACTTACACATCACTGGAGCTCTAGAAATGCCTTCTTGGCTGACTCACCAAAGAAAAAGGTTATGCCAGCTCCCCCGCCCCTTCCCCCTCAGCTGGAGGATAGGAAGACCGAGGGGGCGAGCAAGCCCTTCTTCCTCCATTTTCCTCCGAGGCACAGTCGTCCCGAAAAAAGAACCACCTTCTCGACTCCCACCGCGGCCGGCTCTCTCCGGGTCCTAAAGCGAGCTGGGTTTGGCGGACTCCCGGAGGTGAGTTCACCAGATAGTAGTAATACGGCTTCTTAGTTTACCGAGTGCTTTCCTTCACAAACGCTGCTTATTTCGTCCTAACAACCTGTCAGGCAGGAGATGATACCTTCATTTTACGAAGAAGGAAGCGGGCTCAGGAAGAGACGGCTCAGCCACGCAGCTACTAAGTCGATGGTGCAAACCTATCAGTGTCGCCAAAATCTCTGCCCTCAGTAGCGCTCCCGTGGAGGCCAAATGGATTTTTAAAAGGTGAATGCTGAGCACTGCCTTTTCGTGCCGTTCTGCGGTGGTTTGTCCCTTCCACGCGGGTTCCTCCCAACGTCCCTGTGAGAAAGACAGGGCAGGGCACTGGATGAGCCCATCGCAAGCGCAAGAGGTTGGTGGCAAGAGTCCTGAGCTGGGCTCTCCGTCCGCCACTCCCGAGCAGAGCGTCCCCAGGCCACCCTGGTCACCCAGGTCACTCCTGTCATTTAAAACCACCTGCAAAGGGGGAACCTTTTGGAACTAAATCCACCTCTCTGTACCCCCTGAGCTCCACAGGTCTCCCCCATTTACTCTGCGCCTCCTGCTTTGCCCATTAGCACAAGACACCTGGCCACCCATCTCTGTTAGACACTCTAGGGCAGGACGGTATTGTTACCATTGTCTCCGTGCCCAAACAGCTCCCTGACAGCTGCACAGGGTTTCCTCACTGTTTGTTTTTAACCCATTCAAGGAAGGTACAGCTTAACCTGGCACGGTTCACTCATATGTCATAACAAGCACATGTGGGTTCTAGTCCTAGCTCTGCTGTTTACCTTTGCCCCTTCCAGATGCACGCAGCCTCTGCCCTCCTTACCTCACAGGCTCGAGGGAGGCGCAGGTGAAATCAAACACGCGAACACCCTTCGAACAGTTATAAAACGTGGCACAAGGGTGAGGAATAAGAGCCGTAGGCTGCTGGTAAGCGACGTGGGGGTTTTGTTGTTGTTGTTGTTGTTGTTGTTGTTGTTGTTTTAATCCAGTGTTTCCCAACCGTTTTTGAACCCCTGCCTCTCTAACGCTTTCTCAATCTATTGTCCGTATATCACCACCGGCAAGAGGGGTCGTGAAATGCTTTTCTTTGTGTGCTGACATGACCCGCAAAGGGAGAGGAATGGTTATGCGCAGTGGAAACGGAGAACCAGTTTTTACGCATCTGCTCGCCAGGCCGCCTTTGCCAAATGTGTGTGAAAGGATGGTGAGCGAAGTCTTAGACTTCACGGGGGCATAGGAAGGTGGGCAGCAACAGCTCGGTGGCACGATGCTCAGGGAATAACCCCTCTCCTTTCTCTCCGTTGTTTTGTTTGTTTGTTTGTTCTCTAACAAAGCACTTCTTTTTAAAAAGATTTTATTTATTTATTTGACACAGAGAGAGAGCCAAGTAGGCAGAGCGGCAGAGGGAGAGGGAGAAGCAGGCTCCCCGCTGAGCAGGGACCCGGGGCTCCATCCCAGGACCCTGGGATCACGACCTGAGCTGAAGGCAGACACTTAACCCACTGAGCCACCCAGGTGCCCCCCCACCCCGTTTCTCTAAGTTTTGGGCAACAATTCCATGCGTTTTGCCCCACAGGACCTGGGGGGGGGCACATCAGAGACCTGCTCGCTAGGGGGGAAACCCCTACTCAGAAACCTCCCCTTCCCGAGGCCCCCACATCCCTCAACCTGCACGGGAACACCCCTGCTTCTGATGCCAGGCCCACCTGCTCTCCCCTTCCAGTCCTAGCTGATCATTAATCTTTTTTGTTCCTTTTTTTTTAATTTAAAGATTTATTTATTTATTTGAGGGGGGGTGAGGGGCAGAGGGAGAGGGAGAGAGAACCTCCAGCAGGCTCCACGCTCAGCACGGAGCCCGACACAGGGCTTGATCTCGAGACCCCAAGATCATGACCTGAGATGAAATCAAGCCACCCAGGTGCCCCTGATCTTTAATCTTTTAAACCCTCTACCCCAGCCTCTTACTTAAGGGCCCCTACATATTTTTAAGCCAGTCGAAGCCCCCCTTGGTCCAAGGCCTTCCTAGACAACTAAAACCAGACCCAGGCCATGAATGCATGAGGCTTGGAGGCCAAGTGCTGGGAGGAAGGGTTTCTGCCTGGACTCTGAGGCCTTTGCACACTGAGCAGCAGATGCCACCTCCGCTCTCCTGATGCCCTTGGCCCTGGCTCAGAGAGATGGAGAGATTTGCAGAATGACCTCTCACCAGCTTTATGTAACCTGTCTTCTCCCTACCTGTCCACCTCCTCCCTGGGTGAGCTCCACACACCTGTGGCTTCCCCAGTGGCTAGCGCTGGCCCCGACCTTTCTGCTCAGCTCCCAGACCTAGATCCTACCATCCACTACCCAGCTCCCCTTGAGGAACACACATAACTCAAATTCAACAGCCTTGAAATGAACTCATCGCACTCCCCACCCCTCTCGCTCCCTCAGAGCTGCTTAGGTCCCCAGAGCCTGCTTAGTGCTTATCCAGAGAAGCTCCGCATTGTTTCCAGCTCTTTCCTCCTGACAAAGCATGCATTCAGTGTCTGTGGAATGAATTACTGAGTGAATGAGTCCCATCATGAATCACACTTCTTCATCAGGCAGATTCACAACAATCCGGCCTCTCTCTTTTCATATTCAAACAACTTTACATAAAAGACAACCCAGAATCTCTTCACCTTAAAACAGCAATCATTTCTCTCTCAGACATCCTTTCATCCTATCACTGAAGATACCACATTTTTACAAAGTGCATTCAGTGGAGAGGTCTGCTTTTACAGCTTAGCATATCGTATACTACAGAGTCTGCCTTACAATAATTTTAATGACATTTTTAAAAAGATTTTATTTATTTATTTGAGAGAGAGCAAGCATGGGGCTGGGTGGCGGGGGGGAGGGGGGAATCAGAGGGAGAGAGAGAATTTCCGGCAGCTCTGCGCTGAGCAGGGAGCCTGGGGGCTCAATCCCAGGATCCCGAGACCACGACCCGAGCCAAAACCAAGAGTTGGATGCTTAACCGACTGCGCCACCCAAGCGCCCCTAATTTTAATGACTTTGAATGATGGCAAATTTGTCTAAAATATTGCTATGTAAGAGCTTACTTACCCAGCTCCTGATTGTGAGCATTCGTATTGTTTCCAGGTTTTCCCTGTTTGTTCCTGTATTCATTTAACAAAGGAAATTACCTTATTTTCTGTGTGCACATGAGAAAGATCCCTAGAGGGAGAAAAGTGTGGGGGTGCTTAGAGGCCAGGAGTGGGAGGGAGACTTTTCACTGAATTCCTTATAGTCCCTTTTGAATTTTGAATCACAGGAATATACTGACTATTCAAAATAAATATACCAAAAGCTTACCAAGCATTACAGTAGAAACTGGGTGTAGGGCGCCTGGGTGGCTCAGTCGTTAAGCGTCTGCCTTCAGCTCAGGTCATGATCCCAGGGTCCTGGGATCGAGTCCCACATCGGGCTGCCTGCTTCTCCTTCTCCTACTCCCCCTGCTTGTGTTTCTGCTCTCACTATGTCTCTCTCTGTCAAATAAGTAAAATAAAATCCTAAAAAAAAAAAGAAAGAAACTGGGTGTAGGGGCGCCTGGGTGGCTCAGTCGGTTAAGCGTCTGCCTTCAGCTCAGGTCATGATCTCAGGGTCCCGGAACCGAGCCCCGCGTTGGGCTCCCTGCTCGGTGGGGAGCCTGCTTCTCCCTCTCCCGCTGCCCCTCCCCCTCGGCTCATGCTCTCTTGCTTTCTCTCTCTCTCTCTCTCAAATAAATAAATAAAATCTTAAAAAAAAAAAAAAAAACTCGGTGTAGAAGTGGGGTCTACGATCCCAAACTAACCCCTGATATGCGCTCTCCCAAAAGTAGCATAATGTACCTTGGGAACCGAGAGGGGAGAGCAGGGTAGAGAGAGCAAGGGTAGGAGTGAGTCAGGCTGCTCAGAGACAACCAGGGGCCAAGACCCAGAAGAGGAAGGGGCACTTCCTGTTTGGGGAAGGAGGCTGTATCTACCGGGGTGTGAAATCGATGGGAAACGAGACTCTCAAGGAAGGCAGAAACCAGTGTAGAAAGGGCTCTGGATGCCAGGCTCTGGGGTTTGAACTTGCTCGCAGAGACCTCGGGAGCGTTGGGAGGGTTTGAACCAGGGCGGATGCAAAGTGCTGTGTTTGACAGCAATCCTCTAGCTGCGGCGTGGAGACCAGAAAGGAGGGAGATCTGCGGGGAGCAGCCTGCTGAAGTCTAGGAGACAGTGACAGTCACCTGAACTAGGGGACAAACTGTCCCGGTTTTAGCATTGAACATTCCATGTCCTCAGTCTCTGGCAAACAGACATGGTTGGTCACCTTAGCCTGAACCAAGGCCCCAGATGCCACTGTCCCCCAGGGCCTGCCTACCCTGAGAAGTGATCCAGTGACTCCCATGGGATTTTGAAATACCCGCGCCGTTCCACCCTCCCCTCCCCCTCCTCATCAGGCTCCTCCTCAGAACCATCCCGCCGGGTCTACTTTCACTAGACTCTAGACCCCCTGACCTACGGGCATGAAGAGGTTTGTGAGAAAAACATCCCACTTACAATTGCCAGCCTTCTGTCCTTCTACTCCCCTCCATGAACCCGAGGCTCCAGTCACTGGTGCCAGAGCAAACCTCCGATCTCCTCTCATGGAGGGCACCACGGGAGGGGGGGGATCATATTCCCTCCTTCTTTGCCCGCTGGAGCCCATTGCAAATACCACCTTCCTACAGCTGAATACCAGTCCTATCAAGCAGCTCCTGGGGGTCAGACACTGACAAGGAGGTGACTAACGCTACCACTAATCCTCGCAGGGAGTAAATATGATTAGTCCCTTTTTCCAGATGAGGAAACCGAGACACAGAGAAGTATCTTGTCCAAGGTCACACAGCTACTAGCTGTCTCCTCTGTGTTCTTTGTAAATCTCTGATGGCCCCCATCCCTGCGTTGATGCTCTGTGTGCTGCTTTTTTTCTCTGCCTGCCCCCCGCCCCCCGCCCCATCTCACACACACACACACACACACACACACACACAGTTGTCAACCTCTAGAACAATACCAGGCTTATGGCAGGACCTCAATAAAAATGTGGTGACTGAAGGACTATGCATGTACGTTCTAATAGTACCTCGCCTAGGACTTGGCATTAAGTAGGCTCTCCATAAATACTTTTAATCGAACTGAAATCGCAATACCTAGCCCAATAAGAGTATGGCAGAAGGGGAAAGATCAGAAGATGACACGTGATGGCAAAACCTCAGCTATCCAAAGCTTTCTGGAAATGAGTCATTCTGAAGGCTGACGGTGCACCTTCAAATCCAGGAGGAAGATTCCTGGGGCTGCTTCTGTCTCTGAGCTTCCCTAACTTCCACCATTCCTTCGGAGCTCCCCAGTCTCCTCAATCTTCTTTTCCTTCCATTTCTCTCCTTTCTTTGTTTTTCTGTTGCTCCTTAGAAACTCCTTAGCTTGCTGGCCTATCCCAGATCCCCATTCGTTTTGGTTTGATAAGCTGGTTGCCGTCTTTCCTGGACAGCCCTTCGTGTCCTTTGCGCCTAGTCCATCTCCCCTCCCCGCCGCATCCCCTCTTCCAGAAAGCCCTCTCTGATCTCCTCGGGCTGGTGGGTGCTTCTCTCTTCTGCGTGCCTCACAGTACCCCACAGGTGTCGGTGATTACGTCTACCTCGCACCCTGGACTGTGAGTTTCTTGAGGGTTAGAATCCCATCAGCCTTAAATGTTTTACGCATGAAATTGGCCCACCTTTGTGCTTCTCGGCCACCTTTCTCTTGCTACTGCTTAATCTAAGGCAACTAGGCTTTTGTTGGTTGGCTGGATGAACTGTAACTGGGAAATCCTGAGTGCTGCCTGTTCAGGGTTTGTCTGCTGGCCTACTTCGCTTCTTCCTGCTTGTTCTACATTCCCTGCTATCTCTGTGACACTTG